CTCCAGCCGCTGGTCTTCAACCCCGACGGCACGCTGCAGAACGAGCTGCTCAACTTCGTCCTGGACCACGTCTTCATCGACCAGGACGACGAGAGCCAGAGCATGGGTGAGAGGAGGGGGTTTGAGAGACACCGGAGCGCACAAAAGGCAAAAAAAACGTCATCTCCATCGTGAATTCCATCGCCTCTCAGAGGGGGACGAGGAGGATGAGGCCAACAAGATCGAGGCCCTGCACAAGAGGAGGAACCTGCTGGCAGCTTTCTGCAAACTCATTATCTACGACATCGTCGACATGCCCGCCGCTGCCGACATCTTCAAACACTACATGAAGGTGACTGCTCATCTCTTCGCCTTAAAAAAAAAACAAAAAAACAATGTTTTTCTTAAAGGTGTCTGATTAGGATTGCAAATGCGCGGACATTTTCCGGTGAATTTCAGCAGACTTTTCGCTTCATTTCTCAGGGAAATTCATCCATTCGAGTTTCTCTTTCTCACTCCACCTTGTATGTCACTTTTTAGTATTATAACGACTACGGCGACATCATCAAGGAGACCCTGAGTAAAACGAGGCAGACGGACAAGATCCTCTGCGCCAAGACGCTCATTCTCAGTCTGCAGCAGGTCAGATATTCCGGACGGCGCCCATGTTTATATCCACACACACACACACACATACACACACACACACACACACACACACACACACACACACACGCGCATCATTGATTTGATGGTATGCGCTTGCAGCTCTTCAACGAGCTGCTGCAGGACCAAGGCCCCAACCTGGACCGCACGTCATCACACGTGAGCGGCATCAAGGAGCTGGCCCGCCGCTTCGCCCTCACCTTCGGCCTGGATCAGATCAAAACCAGGGAGGCGGTGGCCACGCTGCACAAGTGAGCTCGCCGGCGCGTGAGCGGCTTCGGCTCGGCGGTCACGACCAAACGCGCATGCGCTGCTCTCGCCTCAGAAAGTTTCGCGCTTTTCCCTCTTTTGCCATCACTGGTACGCTTTTATGTGGCTCCAGAAAGAAGCCAAGGAAAAAGCACTTTTTTGGGGGTGTATGCAATTGTAAACTTTATTTTTATGTTTTTTTTGTCAGTCTTTTTTTTATTTCTTACGTGCTCAAAATGAGCTAAAATAACCCCCCCCCCAAAAAAAACAACAACAAATCAAGTTGCACAATAAATAAAAGTATAAAAGCGTCCTACAAACTAAAATCCAAACTAAAACTGCTCTGAAAACTGTTCCAATCCGCAATTCTTTCACATTTCTGTCGCGCTATCGAGCTGGAGCCTTTCTTAGGTGTGACTTTTGATTCTGTTTTGCCCTCTTGTCAGAGATGGAATCGAGTTTGCCTTCAAGTACCAGAATTCTCGAGGACCTGACTTTCCTCCCATTAACTTGGCCTTCCTGGAGGTTTTGAGCGAGTTTTCTTCCAAGCTGATCCGCCAAGACAAAAAGACAGTGTAAGTTAAAATCCAGACGGCTCGGAAAGAAATGTTTGATCCGCGCAAGTGCTCCTGCCCCCATCCTGAAATGCCGCGCATCCCGCCAGCCACTCGTACCTGGAGAAGTTCATGTCGGAGTCCATGTCGGAGCGGCGGGAGGACGTGTGGCTGCCGCTGATCTCGTACCGGAACAGCCTGCTGACGGGCGGCGACGAGGACCACATGTCAGTCACGTCAGGCTCCAGCAGCAAGACGGGCTCGGTCCGCAGCAAGAAGGGACGGCCGCCGCTCCACAAGAAACGCGTCGAGGGTACGGCTGGGCCTTTAAGGCCTCAAAGAAAATATATATATTTTTTTATGTTCTATGTGATTTTTTTCTGGGATTTCCTTCCACCGGGCTCCTCTCCGTCATCCACAAAATACTGCGAAAATAATTCAATTTATCTTATCTGTATCTTAGCGGGAATCAACCCCCCCTCACCCCTCCCCGCTCATTTATTTATTTTTAAATAGTAGCTAAAGTGGCCGCAAGCAATGCGCATCAGCAGGGACATGCTTTGCTACTTTAAAAAAAAAAAAAAAAAAAACTCATCCTGGGAAATACTTTTGAATTAACGAGTGAGATCATTTGATTGACTCGCCTCGAGATTGAGGTGAATGGCGCGGGGGGAGCAACGGCGTCGGGCGTACTCACGTCGACTTCCTCCTGACCTTGCAGAGGAGAGCAGCGTGGAGGGCTCGTGGCTGATGCGCAACGACACCTTGCAGACGCCCAGCACGCTGCAAACCCCTCAGCTCACCTCCACCGTCCTCCGAGAAAACAGGCCGGCGGAACACATGCCCGACCCCGACTCGGAACCCGGGTCGGAGAACGACTTTGTCCACAAGTGAGCGCCACCGCCGCCTTTCGGCTCATTTGAAGCACCCTTTTTTGGGTGTCTGCTTCACACCGCCGTGCCTTCAGCCCGCAGATGCAGATGTCGTGGCTCAGCCAGCAGAAGATGGAGGAGGTGAGCCGGAAGGACCGGACGGCCATGAACTACATCAAGTCACGCAGCAATCAAGGCGTCCGGCAGACCGTGTAAGTTGGAAAAGTTGCCGCATGCGTTCTGTATACCGGAACACACACACAAGATGCTCAATTTCGGCCCAGTTATCATACATCGCTGTGTACCTCGCGTTAGCTAATGGCATGATAGGTGATGAAACATCACTCTCAACACACCCCACATTGCAGGATAAATGCTCCGAATTCTATTTTACAGACATCTGATAATTCCGGCCTTTTATTGGACGTGGGCTAAGATGCTCAAATAAAGCCCGAACATCATACACGTGTACCTTACTTCATCATTGTCAAGATGGACTGGGAAAAAAAATATGTATAATTCCGAACTCATCCCACAAGATAATCAATAAAACTATCATATTTGTCCTCATTATCTGCATTTGTATATTCCGCGAATGTGCAGACGGATCACCAAGCCGCCGATCGATTAAAGGTGGAACTAACACAACCGATCGTGTTATACTCTCGTTCGACGGCATATTTGTGGAATGTGGTGCTCTCGTGGGCGTCAAATGACTGCGCTTGGCTCCAGGCGCGGGCTGATGGAGGATGACGCCGAGCCCATCTTCGAGGACGTGATGATGTCGTCGCGAGGCCAACTGGAGGACATGAACGAGGAGTTCGAAGACACCATGGTCATCGACCTGGTCGGTGACGACGCCGTCGGCTGGCCGCGCTCGTTTGAGCCGTTCTGTTCTTTTGTCTTGATGAATGGTTGAATAGTTTGTTTATTTATTTTTTTATTTTTAAACCCCGCCAGCCGCCATCGAGGAACAGACGCGAAAGAGCGGAACTAAGACCGGACTTCTTCGACTCGGCAGCCATGATCGAGGACGAGTCGGTGAGAAATTCCGACAGTAAATGTCACTCTGCGCTCAAGTGCAACGGTTTGGTTTAATTCAGTGCACTCGCAAAACCAATTTGATGATTCAAATTCGTTAAACCTCTGCTGGTCTTTTTTTTTGAGGAGGCTTCTATCGGGCAAGAACATTTTGTACCATTCAACTTAATTTTAATTGATGCCACACAGCTCACAATAAGTCCCATTTGTCAAAGAAAACCAATCACAAAAATCATAATTATTCACAGAATCTCCATTTTTTTTTTTTTTTTGTGCATCCACAATTTAAGGCCTTCTTCTTCCCATCAAATATTTGCATGACCCATCAAATATTTGCATGAACGTTTTTTGTGAATTTTTTGTTTGTGTGTCCTTGCAGGGGTTCAGCATGCCCATGTTCTGATGACAATGGTTTGGGGGGGAAGAAAAAAGAAAAGAAAAAAAAGGCGCTTTCTGATCAGGAAGTAAAAAGACAGCGGTGGTGGGGTGGATCCACGTGAGCTGTCAGTCACACTCCTTTCCGAAGAAGGTATTGTACAAGTACTTCACCTCTGGACACCTGGTCCACCTCTTCTTCCTCCCAGGACAGTTTGGAGAAAGTGTTGGCCGGGTGTTCCACTCTATATCTCCCCCCCCCCTCTCGTGCCCTTCCGCCCTTCCCTTCCCTTGTGTTTGCACTTTGGTCCATCCGCATCAGTTCAAACCAAGAGTGGATGTCAACTCTACATGGTCTATATCTGTGCTCTTATCACTCCTCCCCGCCATCCTGTTCCGATCTTGGAATTACTCTGCACACAAATAGTTTTTTTGTAAAGTCAAAACAAAAACAAGAAAAAGACATTTCTAATTCTGTAGCTTTAGTCCGAAAAGTTTTAAAATGAAGTGTTTGTTTGTACAGCGTTTCCTTCTCGAATGTGTATTCTTTTCATTTGTTGCCAAATGGTGGCCTACATACAAACATTCTCCTCCGGATCTTCCCCGTCTCACTTTTTTTTACCTACCCGCCCCCCCTTTCCCTCACTGCTTCAGTATTTGCTGTTGCCCCCTCGCCGCTACAGACAGTGTTTGACTCGTGTCGGTGCATCACATATGTTGTTTGAATGTGTATTCAGGTTTTGCTTGTGTAAATATCACAGACTGTCCGCGGAGCCCTAACGTGCTCTCAAAAGCCTCCTTTTTCTTTTTTTTTTTTGGTTTTTTTCTGTTGTTTTCAGTCGACCTTCAATCGTTTTTAAGAAAATAAAATGTGTACTCAATTTACAGTTGTCATCTTTTTGCACTCAAAAAGTAAAAAAAAATAAAAAATAAAAAATAAAAAAATGGTTTACAGTATTGTAGTTTTCTACTTTGATATTTCATCCCTCACCAGTGGCCCTACTGTCCAATTAGACAAAAAAGGCAGTTTTGTCAAAGTCTATTATTTATTGTATTACGATTAAAAAGGCACCATTTCTGCTTGACCTAAATTCAAACATGAGGAGTGAAGCTGAAGGTGGATGGGGGGTGGGGGGAAACAATGAAAATATTGCTAATATGAATGAAATTCATCCGTTAAAAATGACAAGAATGTCACCAAAAAAATTGTCCAGATGCGATCCGGGATTGACCTGCGTATTTTTTTTTGCACTCCAGGCTTCCAGTGGAGTGGAGAGGAAGGGGGAAAACAAACAAACAAACGAGGCGATGTTTTACAGAGGAATGTTGGCGTGCTTCTTCCAAGGGTTGACCTGCTTCTTGCTGGCCAGCACCTCCAGGTCTCGGCAAATCCTCTTGCGCGTGGTGGACGGCTCAATGATGTCGTCCACGAAACCTGCAGTACCAGTATGAGTGAGATTGTGTTCCAGAGGAGCGTTCAAATTTTTTTTTTGCAAATATTGCAAAGTTTTAAGAATTGAAATGAAAAATTGTACAAATAATATAATGTGAAGTCCCCCAAAGTTAAGACTATCATGATTGACAAATACAACTCCCCCAAATATTTATTTGATGGAAATATCGTCCAAAGAAAATCCAACAAATTTAAGATTCCAATTATTCACTTAGACTAATTTTTAGTCTTTTTAATTATAGTAAAATGTATCACTCCCACAAAAATAGTAATTTATTGCCAAAACAAAATCTACAAAATAAATAGTTCTTTAAAGTATATTCAATACAACAAAAAAAATATAAATCTTGCTCAAACAAATTTAAAAAAAAAAAGATTTATCATTAGAAAAATGAATAAAACAATTTTATTACTGACCAATAAAAAAACCCTAAGCTCTGAAAACATGCAATTTTAAAATACCCCAAATATGATATTGATGCCCCATCCGAGATTTGATTTTTTTTCTCAGAGGAGAATTATATTAAATGTCTATGAAACTCCACACCTTTATCAAAAATATATATACTGTCGACTTTTGCTAAAAAGGTCAGGTGGCAGTCAGGAGGTACCTCTGACTGCAGCAGGGAAAGGGTTGGCAAACTTGTCTACATATTCCGCTTCGGCCTCGGCCTGGTTCTCCTTTCCTCTGAAGATGATCTGAACGGCTCCCTAACACACAAATTCACCGCGTATTAAAACAAAAAGTCTCCACACAAATGCTGGGCTTTTGAAGTATAAAAAAATGACACCAAGATAAATAATTTCAAAAATGTTTCTGTAATTAATATCACCTCGAACCTGGACGAATAAACTGGGCAAAAGAAAATTAGAGATTAAGTTTAAAAAAAAAAAAGTAGGAGGAGAGAATTTGGCTGAAATAAAGTTCAGCTGTTCTTGTCGGGTGATGGAAGGCTTTGTACCTTTGCGCCCATGACGGCCACCTCAGCCGTAGGCCAAGCGTAGTTGACGTCTCCTCTCAGGTGTTTGGAGCTCATCACGTCATACGCGCCACCATAAGCCTGCAATGGAGCAAATTTTAAATGCCAGGAAAAAAATTAAATGTCCTGCTAAACATTGTCTTACAGAGTAAGCCCCCTTCCCCATTTGAGTCTTTTCTCACAAATATGAACTTCATTAGCATTGTTCAAAAAGAATCATCATTGCTCCAAAAATGATTAATCATAAGGTCACACACCTTCCTGGTGATGACGGTGATCTTCGGCACGGTGGCCTCGGCGAAGGCGAACAGCAGCTTGGCTCCGTGGCGGATGATGCCGCCGTACTCCTGAGACGTGCCCGGCAGGAAGCCTGGCACGTCCACGAAGGTGACGATGGGAATGTTGAAGGCGTCGCAGAAGCGCACGAAGCGAGCACCTTTCACCGATGAGTTGATGTCCAGGCAGCCTGGCCGCCAAAACCACCAAAAACGTGACCGACAAGACGCTAACGCCGTACGAACGAAGAGACGGGCGACAATGTTGACTCACCAGAAGCCACTTTGGGCTGGTTACCTACCATGCCCACCGTGCGCCCATTCATGCGAGCGAATCCCACCACGATGTTTTTGGCGTAGTCGGGCATGATCTCGAAGAATTCTCTTTCATCCGCGATCTAGCAAAGGTGGCAAAAGTACTACGCTGTACTTAAGTAGAAGTATGGATACTTTTGTTAAAAAAAATAATAAAAAAGACGAAAGTGGAGTGTGGATTCAACTCCATCACTATTAACTTACAGATCCTGGTCTTCAAAAATAAAAAACTAAATAAAAAAAAAAAAGTCATGCCCAATGCTAACTGAAAAAAATATAACGCCTATTTTGACGAAGCAGAAATCACAGATATGCTTTCAAATGTACAGTTACAATTACAAAGTCATCACAAAAATGAGTACTCAAAGTGTAGCAGACCTGAAAATCTACTTGTTTTCAATCCCACCGCCGCCATGTAGTTTCGGGCAGACTCGTTTTATTTCCCCATGATCCTGAAACGTTGTTGTTTTGATCACTTACAGCGTGGATGATGTCCAACATGTCGTAGGCCTTCGTCGACTCAAACGGGACGATGGTGTCCAGCATTGGAACCAGGCGCTCGCTAAAGTAAGGCCAGACAAAAAATAAAATCGGACATTTTCCACTTGGGGCAGTTGCAGAAGTGCCCTACCATGTCCGGCAGATGGAATTAGTTGTGAATCGTGCAAAAAGCTTGATGAGGAAAAACTATCCTGCTGAGAGATTTTTTTTTTCTTTCAAAACGTACACAAATTTATGCCCCGTGAATTCTGCCTAGCAACAAGTCAGGGTTGGGGTTTTGCATGGAGGGGAGTGGCTAAGGTTTTTGTTTTTTTTTTGACTCACAAATTCTAGCTGGCGAGGTATTTACTTATTTATTTTACATTTTCTTTCTGATGTTCCTGCGACGAGGGGAGTGGCTAAGGTTTTTTTTTTTTTTTTTGGGGCTCACAAATTCTAGCTGGCCAGGTATTATGTATTTATTTTACATTTTCTTTCTGATGTTCCCGGGACTCAGCCTGTCGTGAAAGGACAGGCTGAGTCACGGGAACTAAAAAGTGCAAAGACGCGCCGAGCCGTTTTGTCTACCTGGAGTCGTGACACTCCCTGACAGGCGCAGCGTCCTGATTGCTGAGCGGCAGGAAGTTGAAGAAGTGGCGCAGGTGCAACAGAGCTTCCACGTCATTCTCGAATGCCCGGTGTGCCACGCCTGGAAAAGCACCACAAACGACCCTCGCAATTTCCACAGAGGTTACGCAAAACTGGGACGACGACGGCGACGACAAATTTACTGACCGGATACGCTCGTGTGCGTCTTGGCTCCGCCCAGTTCCTCCTGAGTGACGTCTTCATTCGTGACGGACTTGACCACGTCGGGACCCGTGATGAACAGGTATGACGTGTCCTTGGTGCAGATGCAAGCGGTTAACGGTTTTACAAACACAAAAAGTGGAGCAACACGTAAGATAATAACGAAGAATCCGTTTCCCATTTTCAATTGCTGTTGCGGTTTTTACAAATACAAACACGATTTGTGTGTCAAATGTTCATTTGCACAAGCACAAATTTGCACTACAAAACAAAAAGTCATCCCAACAAGCAAAGCTGAATATTTGAATTGGATGCGGGGCCCAGTCCAACTAGCATGTTCTGTCTCTCTCTTACCTTGACCATGAAGGTGAAGTCGGTCAGGGCGGGTGAGTAGACGGCGCCGCCCGCACAGGGTCCCATGATGAGGGAGATCTGAGGGACCACCCCGGACGCCATTACATTCCTCTAGAGGGATTCACACACACATACAGTGCACTTTATAATCCCGTGTGTCTCAAGTCACAATTGTGGTTGTGCTTACTGATTTTGAACAGATATAATGTGGTACACGGCACCCAAAAACCTGCCAAAATGTGTTTGGATATACTAAATCCAGTGTTCTTTGCTAGCAAGTGTATGTTGTCGCCATACCGGAACAAGAACTACTTCCTGCTTTTGTATGTACGAATCATGGGAACTGTAGTCCTACTAGCACAAGCCGTTGATTTGTGCTCCATCTGACAAACTTCAGATGCCCAATAGCTGTTTGACTGTTGGGCCTAAATTCTGCGTTTTATTTGACTTAAAGGCAATTTAATAAGAGTGTTTAAGGTATCTCGACGCCGTTAGTTTGTCCGACTTCTAGGGCTGTCGTAAAGCGAAAGTAGCTGCCGAAAAGTGTGTTGGCAAGGTAGAGGAAAACAAGTCAGGCATGGAGCGACAACTTTTCTGACTGTGTGTGTGTGATTCCACTCGTGCTCATTGTTTTTGCGACGTTGTCAATTTTGTAATAAGAAGGCAGTCGGGGAAAATAAGAACGCAAGCCTTTTTTTGTTCAATTACAACAGCGAACAACATGCAATTTGAATCAACTATTCAACATATGATGCTTCACAAAAATAATGCGCTTTATAATCCAGTACGTCTTATGTGTGAAAATAGCCGTGCTACTGCGCCTTATAATTCGGTGCGCTTTAATAATACGTTTTTAGCATTTAAAAAAATGGGGGGAAGCATGGTTTGGATACATTTTGAAAATAATCTTCCCTTCAAAAATATTTTTAATAAGTTCAAATAACACAGTGTATTTTCTTGAAATCAGTTATGTCTTATAAATATAATGTTAATGATTAATTATGTTTTATTATTTATCTGACTTGTTTTCTGGGTGACTGTGTGGCGTGCACGTCACCAGGAATATGTCTGCGTATCCGGCCAGAGACTCCACGCCCTCTTGGATGCGAGCACCTCCGGAGTCATTGAGGCCGATGACGGGCGCTCCCACCATCATGGCCTGGTCCATTATCTAAACGACGAAGAGCGCACATGTCACCGATGACAACACGTCCGCTCGAAATCCTCCTTGGCAAACGCTTACCTTGCAAATCTTCTGCGCGTGAGCTCCAGACAGACTGCCGCCAAATACAGTGAAATCCTGAACACCCAAATCACGATATGTTAAGGATTCACAGTTTTGTTTTGGTTTTTAACACGCAAAAGTCAAAGCATTATCAGCATTGACTTTTGCTGATAACGCAAAAGTCAATGGTGAAACAAGGATGGCGTTTTGGGGGTCTCCAGAAAAGTGACTATTCTAGAGGTATGGAAATTTCGCCCAACATATACTTCATCCCACAGATAAGTCATTTTGATCATATTAACATGACAAAAAGTAGTGCTGTGAATTTACTTGACAGCCCCACCTGACTGAAAACGTACACCAGGCGGCCGTTGATTCTGCCGAGACATATACTTCATCCCACAAATAAGTCATTTTGATCAAATTAACATGACAAAAGATAGTGCTGTGAATTTACTTGACAGCCCCACCTGACTGAAAACGTACACCAGGCGGCCGTTGATTCTGCCGCTTCCCGTCACCACGCTGTCACCTGGGAACTGTAGGCACATAACAGGAAGTGACATCAAACACTCAGGAAGAGGAAGCTGACGATGACGACGACCATCACCTTGTTTTGATCCTGCTCCATGCCGAAGTCGGAGCAGCGGTGCTCCACGAACATGTCCGTCTCGCAGAAGGACTCGGCGTCCAGCAGGAGCTCAACTCGCTCTCGAGCTGTCAGCTTGCCCTGCGCAAGTGTTTTCAACTTTTAATTATATTTCATGGTTATCCCACTACAGGTACATAAGTGAAAACACCACAAGTGTCGAGCTTTTTGTTTATTTTTTTTAATATTTGTTTTGTTTTGGGTTTTTTTGTATATTTCATCTTTAATTAGAATCTTTGGGTAATTGATGTCACCACAGAAGTGAAAAATAAAATCCCCGATTGATTTTATTGGTGAGGTCACAAAAGACGTGGACAACTCCACATTTGGAGAATCATGTGACCAAAGAAGTAGAAAATTTCCCAAGTCACTACGTCGTCCCAACTCCACCAAGACTTATTCATTAGCTTTTCACCCGTTTGTGTTGCGCGTCGATCCTCTTCTGACCTCCGCCGACCAGCGCCGCCTTACGTTTCTTCTCAATGCGCTCCCTCACGGACAGGTGGCTGACCGAGTAGCATCGGTTCGTCGCGAGTGTCGGTGCGGCATGTTTGACCGGCGCCAGACTCCTGAACGACAGCCGCAAGCCGTCGAGAAACCCGCGGCTTCCCCGAGCAACACAGTAAGCCGCCATCATAGCTGCGCGTGTCTCTCCGGTGACAGAAGGCAAGCCGAAACGAGCAGTCATACGAGCCAATGGCGAGCGAGGGGCGCTCTCCCACAACCAATTCGACTGGAGGATAGAAAAGGCGGGACTTGAGTAAAAGGGGTTCGGCCTATTCAAAAAAATTTAACCCTGGCTTTACTCTTTCAGGTACGGAGCACTTCTTTTGGTCTCGTGTTCTGCGTGTGCGTGTGCTTTGCATACACATTTGAATGCATTACAAGTATTCTATGTTGGATTTGTATTCTACTTTTTGATCTGCTGAAGTTCAAAACTTTGAGCGTAAACACAGTTACTTGAGACGTTGTACCTGGTTCTTCAGCTTTATAAATATGAAACCTTGTCGGTCAGGGATACCAAGTACCCGACGTGGCAGCCATATTGGGAGGGACAACGTCCCCGTCAAAGGCAATGATTTAACATTGAAATTCAATTTAACGTGCTCATTTCTCCGTTTATTTTCGTCATATTTACTATAGTGTTGATGCCCAAACATGTGAAATCAAAAAGAAATGTGAAAGTTCTTGTAAATTTGCAAATGTAGGTTATGGCAATTTGACAATGTCTATTGCATTTACAGCTGAAGCAATATCCAAATTAATAAAATCAAATTGGCGTTCAATTTTGAATGCCTGCTCGCGTTTGTTATTGTCAATATTTTATAATAACTGATAAAATTATCATAGCAGATTTTTACAGTAGTGCGCAAGAACAACGAAAGGGGACGTTAGGCCGAGACAGGAGCCCTTCTTCCCACTTCCGCCCCCCCCTTAAAACGGTAACCACGGTAACTAACGAGTGCCGAGACAGGAGCCCTACTTCCCACTTCCGCCCCCCCCCCTTAAAACGGTAACCACGGTAACTAACGAAGTCTCGCGTGAGTTCGGTTAGCGTCGAGCGAGAAAAGCAATATCTATGGAGAGAGGGGTTTGATGCGAGGAAGTGCAAATCAAATGATTGATGAAATTTCCGAAAGGCACGGCGAGCTTCATGTGTCCTTTCGCCGGCCGGCCGTTACGGTAGATCGCGCGGAAGAAACCACCAACACCGCAGGATCAACCAACATCCAGACCCACCCTGTCTACAAGGCAGCCCTGAGGGAATTTGAACATTTCCGAGAGCTCTAATTTTTTTTTGGGGGGGGAGCTAACAATGCTAACTTTAGCTTTGTTTACATGTAGCGCGCGCGCGTCGTAACTGGGAGCTAATCGCAAACCGAATCCGTTTAACCACCCACGTATGAACCCGACGTTATTGTTTGACCACAATTAAGCCACTTGTTTTGAAAAGACTTTATTTATGGCCAGTCGAGTGACTTCTCGCGCGAGGCTACAAGCCGCCGCCAGCGAGCTAGCTAGGCTGCTAAGCTAACAGGCTAGGCTCCGCGAAACAATGCTACCCCTTTGAAGATGGCTATACAACTACAACGTTCGCCCCGACTGCGAGTAAGAATGTGAAGAATTATGACGTCGTGCGAACGAGCGTTTCCACCAAAGAGTGCTGATATTGATAAATTTTAGATATACTATAAATGGCTTGCAGCTTACTGTCCACTCCGATACTGGACTGATAAAAGAAGCGTCAATAGCCCCTCTGCCTAGCTTGGATATAAACTCCTTCCACATCCACGCGCGGCGTACCCCAACTCCTCCCCCAGAGAGGCGGCGATGAACCCGGTCAACGCGGCCGCGCTGTACGTGTCCGCCAGCCGGGCCGTGCTGCAGTGCGACCCGCGGCAGCCGCACACCTTCTCGGACATGTACACGCTGCTGCCCTTCTTCCGACAATCGTTGGCATGTCTCGTCTGTGGTAAGCGCCACTACGGGGAAAATCGTAATATTGCCTTGTTATTTATACCACTGGTGGGCGTGTATGTGTGGCAGCGCTTGACACAATTTGTCGTCGCCCTGGCAACGAGGCCGAGCCCCTATCATGTCTTTCTCGCCTTCAGTTGCCAAAACATGACTCCGCTTTTATTTACTATTCATCCTGTGTTTAGCTAGCTAGCACAGCTCACTTAAAAAGGGACATGCAGTAGCAAGTAAAAAGGATGTGAAGTCTTCGGAATGATTTCTGCATGAATCGGTCAAAAAAATGTGTTCTGAACTTCATCTAAGTCACAGCAGTAGACAAACACAGTCTGCTTGAGCTAGTACCACACAAACAATCTGTCCTCATGTATTTTTATTGAACACACAATATAAACTCCACCAAAATTGTGGCGTTTGTAATGTTACCAATACTGCACAAAGAGTGTCTCTGGACTGCCTTTCACCCATCAAGTGTTTAATTGATAGTGTGAAGATTCGAATCGTGGTTGCCGATTGCTGTCTGGAAGGCAAATTTGCCAAGGACAGATTGATACGGTTGGATTATAGGATTATAAACCATTAATAATCAGCCGATATTCACCCATTTGAAGATAATGATAATTGGGTGGAGTTTTGCCGATTAAATTCGGACATATTGTTACATTCTCATGGGATATTAAATGTTGTTCACTGTTGGGACTTACTCAGAAGGAGATCCTTGCACCATTTGCCCACTAGATGGAGCTCCGACTCCTTTGCCACTCATCAAGAAGGCAGCAGGTCCACCAAGCAGCTTAAACATTTTTGAAAGCTGCAGTTTTACTTTGAACAAGCAATTTTTTTTTTCCTCCAGGCGAGCTCGTGCGGGATCCGGTGTCGGCGCCGCACCCCGGCTGTCCGCACCACGTGTGTCTGGGCTGCCGGGGCCAGAAGACGGCAGCGGGGCGGGTGGCTTGCGGACGCTGCCGGGACGCGGCCGGCTTCCGAGAGGACAAGCAGCTATCGCTGCTGGTGCGGCTCTACCGAAAACTGTGCGTCTACGTGGCCCATTCGGCGCTGCTGCCGTGCGTCAGCGCCAACGCCGAGCTGATGGCGCTGCTGGAGGAGGCGCTGGTGGTACCGGCAGAGGATGCAGAGTCGCCGGACGCCCAGGATTCCTCTGCAAGTAGGGAGCTAATCTTGTTAACTAAAACTCATGAAATAACTCAAGCTAAAATGAAAACACTTTTTTAAAAAAATGAAAACATATATAATCATAGCGAAAATGTCCACAGGTTTTGTTGAGGTAATTATTAGCCATTTGAAATGTATTTATTTTGGTATAAAATGATGGTCAAATGATTATTTTAAAATTGTAGTTTTATTTATCACCCAATATTTGATTGCTGTTTTATTTATTGATTTTATTTTTTTTAAATCTTGAGCTTGACAAATACGCAATTAAAAATAAAACAATACAAAAACTAAACTAAAATATAATGCTTAGTGGGGGGGTGGAAATAAATTAATAAATAAGACCTGCTCTAAAAAGCAATTAAAACAAACCGAATTTAAAAAAAATAATAAAGTCAAAATCAAATAAAAACTAATAATAAAAGAAATAAATCAATATTATCACCCTGGTAGGAGCACCGGATGGCGAGTTGGTGAAAAGCGAGCTTGGGGATGACCGGCAGCCCGTGGAGGACAGCGAGTTGGCGAGTAGCCAGCCCGTGAACGAGGAGTTGCCGGACGGTGAGCCCGCGGAGGATGGTGACTTGAAACCGGACGCCATCGAGTCGACCTCCCCCACCAAGGAGCCGCGCCAACCCGCCGAGCTGTACCCGGAGCTCGGGGCGTGCAACCGAGCACTCCAGGAGAGCCTGGAGCCCTCCTCGCCCGAGCTGGAGGTGTGCGAGCTTATGGAGGAGACGCTAGCTCCACCCCCTGCCGAGGGACACTCCGCGTCCGACACGGCCACCCTGGAGCTGAGTCTCACCACTGGACCCTTCACCGCGGGAGCCTTTGCCCCCGGATCCTTCCCCAATGGAACCTTCCCCTCTGGGGCCTTCGCCCCCGCGCCGGGCGGCAGGGAGCTGGAGGAGGGCGAGGTGCTTCTTCTCAGCGTCGAGGAGGTTCTCCAGACTCTGGACCCCCTCCAGCCGCCCACCGACGGCCCCCCGGACCGGCACTCCCACATGTACCTGCAGTTGGACGCCGCACACAACTACACGCAGCTCCACGCGGACAGGACTCACGTGGCGCTGAGCCCCGCCTTCCCCCCTCCGCCTCTCACCGTCCCCCTGCCCCCCTCGCCCTCCTCCTCACCGTCGTCGTCGTCGCGCCACAAACGCAAGCGCTCGCGATCGGAGAGCGACCGCGAGCAGGTGAAGCCGCTCCCCATCGCTTCCATCCTGCAGGGGCCCACGTCGCCACGCGGGCAGCACGCCGCCGCGCTGCCCCACGCTTATTCATCTCTATACAACGGGGCGTCGCCCAAGCCCGCACGCCACCACCACCACCATCATCACCACCACCACCACCACCACAGCAAGGGCGCCCGCAAGCACGGCGAGCTGGGAGCCAAGAAGAAGGCTCGCTCGGGCGCCAAGTGCAAAGAGCGCGGCAAAGAGCAGCGCCTGCAACTGACCGGCTGCCTGGTGCCCCCCGCACCACCGCGGGCCCCCTACAAGAAGCCCGTGGAGAAGAAAGGCTGCAAATGCGGACGCGCCACCCAGAACCCCTCGGTGCTCACCTGCAGGGGGCAGCGATGCCCCTGCTACTCCAACCGCAAGGTGAGAATAGGACCCAACCATTCATATGATCAAAATAGTTTTGTACCGTAGTTCATTCATGATAATTACTTTGTTGAAAAATGTTTGTGGTGTTAACTGTCGGCAGGCATGCCTGGACTGCATTTGCCGCGGCTGCCAAAACTCTTACATGGCCAACGGCGAGAAGAAGCTGGAGGCATTCGCCGTGCCCGAGAAGGCGCTGGAGCAGACGCGGCTCACGCTGGGCATCAACCTCACCAGCATCGCGGCGGCCGCCGCCCTTCGCAGCCCGCCGGGCAGCGGACTTCGCGCCGGCACCCTGCTCAACGTCGCCACGGCCACCGGCGCG